ATCAATTCTTGAAGGCTTGTTTTTCACCAATTCAGTGCAGCTTGGACTTCTTCTTTCAGTACCATTGGATCTTGATCATATGCTACCTCCTAAAATAGCTGAACATCAACCAATGCTTTTTGGTACAGTGGCTCTGTGTATTCCTTCCACCTTCTTTTGATGCTTCCTGCATTGTTCAATATTTTGCACACAAAATCCTTCAATATTGCAATTCAAGGCTTGTATTTTTTCTTCAGTTCTTTCAGCTTGACAATTACTGAGTGTGTTCTTTCCCTTTGGCTTTCTTATTTGAGGTCTTTGAACATTTCATTATAATTTACTTTGTCTTCTTGAGCCACCCTTTAAAATATTTTGCTCAGCTCTTTTATTTCATCATTTCTTCCATTTGCTTTATCTACTCTACGTCAAGAACAAGTTTCAGAGGCTCTTCTGAATTCCATTTTGGCCTTTTCTTCCTTTCCTGTCTTTTTAATCATTTTTTGCTTTCTTCATGTATGATGTTCTTGACATCATCCCACAACTCATCTGTTCTTTTTGGTGTTCAATGAGTCAAATCTATTCTTGAGATGGTCTCTAAATTCAGGTGGAATACAATCAAGGTCATATTTTTTCTCTCATGAACTTGTTTTAATTTTCTTCAGCTTCAAGTTGAACTTGCATATGAACAATTGATGGTCTTTTCCACAGTTAGCTCCTGGCCTTATTTTGACTGATGATACTGAGTTCCTTCATTGCCTCTTTCCACAGATGTAGTCGATCCAATTCCTGTGTATTCCATCTGGCAATGTCCACGTATATAGTTGCTGTTCATGATGTTGAGAAAACGTATTTGCAAATTGTTGTCTTGCAAAATTCTATCATGCAATCTCCAGCATCATTTCTATCACCAAAGCCATATTTTCCAATTATCGATGACTCTTCCATGTTTCCAACTTTTGCATTCCAATCACCAGTAATAATCAATACATCTTGATCGCATGTTTGGTCAACTTTAGACTGCAGAAGTTGATAAAAATTTTGAATTCCTTCATTTTTGGCTTTACTGGTTGAATATAAATTTGAATAATAATATTATTAATGGTTCTTCCTTGTAGGTGTATGGATATTATCCTATCACTGACAGCACTGAACTTGAGGAGAGACCTTGAAATGTTCTTTTTGACGATGAATGTGACACCATTCCTCTTCAATTTGGCATTCCCAGCACAGCAGACCACACAATTGTCTTGATTCAAAATGGCTGACCCTAGTCCATTTCAGCTATTATCTAGATATTGATCTTTATGCATTCCTTTTCATTGATGACACTCCTTTTGACTGTTGACAACTTACTAGATTCATACTTCACACATTCCACATTCTGAGTATTAATGAGAATATGCAGCTCTTTCTTCCCATTATGAGTCATGCAACATCAGCAAATGAAGGTCCCAAAAGCTTTACTCCATCTATGTCATTAAGGCTGACCCTATTTTGAGGAGGCAGCTCCTCCTCAGTCATATTGAGTGCCTTCCAACCTGAGGGGCTCATCTTTTGGCACTATATTAGATAACGTTTCACTGCTCTTCATAATATTTTCCAATAATATATCAGACAATGTTTCACTGCTACTCATAAGGTTTTCAGTGGCCTATTTTTTTCAGAAGTGGATGGTCCCATCCTTCTTCCCAGTCTCTTAGTCTAGAAGCTTTGCTGAAACCTGTCTACCATGAATGACCCTGCTGGTATTTTAAATACTGGTGGGACAGCCTCCAGCCTCACAACAACAGGTAAGCCACCACAGTACTACAAATTGACAAGTGGTGGCATAATCAGATAGAGTCGTATTTACCAAAAACTATTTAAAGACATCAACTATTGCCTCTGAAATGTGCCGTCCCCCTGCCCCCACACATCAATACATTATCAACCTACCCCTTTCTTCAACTTCCCCAGTGAGTTGAGATTTTTAGAATATTATCACCCCTGTCCTCCTTACCCATCTGGGTGAATTTTAGGAGATATTACCTAAGTTTTACTGGAGTAACTTAGTACTTAGTTCTAAAGTATTATTAAAATTTTCCTCAGCATATATTTTTTCAAAATTCTTTACATGCCTACACATAGCCAGTCTCACGACCCATTTAGATTTGTTATATATTACAATATATATCAAAGTTTATTGTTTATTATTTATTCTTTCATTTCATTTTTCCTCTATCTTTCCCTTTCTGTTCTGGTTCATTTGCTGTTTGACTAAAGTTCTTTCTCAAATATTTTTCTCACATTAGGTACAAAGATGACATATTCTAGATCACTGTTTATATACTCATTAACTACCTGATATTTTCTGTCACAGGGTAACTCTGAAAGTTTTCTCTTTACCCTTGGGGTTCAGATATTCTACCACTGTAATTTAGGGCATATGTCTTATTCAACAAACCATCTCAGAACTTGGTGATTCCTTTCAGTGAGTAGATTCAGATCATTCTTACACTTTAGGGAATATTCCTTCTACCGTTTAATTGCAACCTACTACTCTTCAGTTTCCACATATTAAATTTCTAGGGTTATCATTTCATATTTTTCCCTCTAATTTTTAACACTTTATATTTTTCCTCTATGGCATACAGTATGTTTCCACTTGATCCTGCAGGCCACTGTTTCAATTGCAAAAGTGACCACAATTTCCTCAATCTACTAATTTCTCCTACCGGGATATTTTATTTAATAGCTCCAGGAAGCACTGTGCTGCAAATGCATATCCTTAAGTGATCTCATTATTATCTTCTCTTTGTTGTTGTTGTTGTTGTTAGGTGCTGTCAAGACAGCTCCAACTCATAGCAACCCTATGTACAGCAGAACGGAACACTGCCCAGTTCTGTGCTTGCTATATCTAAGCCCATCACTGCAGCCACTGTGTCAATCCATCTCATTGAGGGCCTTCCCAGGCCTCTCTAAATAGGGAAGTTCTGTTGTTTACCCTGTTCTTCTTCCTGAGTGTTGCTGCCTCTTAGATAGTGTTCACAGTCCCCAAAAATATGAGTCAACTTAGCTAGGCCATGATTCTCAGTATTACGTGGTTATCCTCCATTCTGTGATCTAGTTATACTTCATTTTGTGATCTATGTTGCAAATCCTAACCTCTATATGTGTTACTGAGGCAGAATTAAGGTGGGTTGTATTTTGAGTCACAGACTTACCAGAAGGTGTGAGTCAAGTCCCATCCTTACTCAAGTACTCAAGTCATGCTCTTACTCAAGTCATCACCCTTACTCAAATTATACCCTTCCTTGAGTCACACCTTTTGTTATAAGAGAAGAAGAGAGAGAAGAGAAGTGAGCAGAGAGAGAAGGATCTGACAACCATCAAGAAAGAAGAGCCAGGAGCAGAGTGCATCCTCTGGATCCAGGGTCCCTGCACTAAGAACCTCTTAGATTCATGGGAAGATTGATGCCAAGACACATGGCTATCTCCAAGGAGTGTCAGGCCCATAGACAATGAAAGGAGACTAGACCCTTTCCCCAGAGCCAACAGAGAAAGCCTTCCCTTAGAATTGGTGCCCTGAATTCTAACCTCCTAACCTGGGAGAGAATAAAATTTGTTTATTAAAACCATCCACTTGTGGTATTTCTATTATAACAGCACTAAATAACTAAGACAAACTGTTAATTTTCTTTTTCAGCTCACTGGAGCTCAGCAGAATGTAAGGAGGAACAGTCTCTATCCTTGCAGTATACTGGATTATTGTTCTCAGCTCTTATTTTCTCCTTTGATAGAATTATCCTTGCCCTTCACCATGTTACTGCATATTCTCTTCCTAGAAAACAGAACATACTTCCCAGTCCTATTGGTATTTGGCTTGGCCACGTTACTTGTTTTGTCTAATAGAATATGGGTAGAAGTAAGCGTGTGCTGGTTCCACGCCAAGACTTTAAGAGACACTATATACAGGTTTCTGCTCATTCTGTTGCATTTCTACCACTGGCTGCGAGGGCAACAGGCCCAGCATCTCAAAATGAAGAAATACGGAGATCTGACCAAGTTCCACAGACTAAATTGCAACCAGTTAATCCACAAATCCATGAGAAAAATAAATGTTTATTTTGTAAGCCACTGAGATTTTAAGACTGACATTCTGGAAGGGGAAAAACAACAATTAAAAAAAAACCCTGTCCAGTATGACAAATGTGAGCTGGTGGTATAGCAGCAACTAGGTTCCTAGTAATACAATGAAGCACCAGTAGACCCTCTTCCCAATCTGATATATCCTTGCATCCTTCCCGAAATCATGTTTAAAAATGACTCCACAAACCATTTTCATTTCATCCCTGACCCCTGTGAAGCCTGGGATAATGTTGACTGTCAGAGTATGCTCAGATTTCTGGAGCCATTTCTCATCCTAGGATGAACATCATTTCAATCATTGTCCCAAGGACTTTGCCATGCTGGTCTCTAATTCTTGACTCATCCTTAAGACAGGTAACCCACAAAGGTAATGTCAGTGGGCTAAGAGAGTCCAAGGCCCTACTTCCATGTACATTATATAAAGCCTTACCCTAACAATTACAGTGATACAGGAGACAGACTGGAATCAAAAGTAAAAAAGTATAGAATGATTCATTTAGAAGGTTATCACTTGTCGAAATTATTCTTTTAAAAATGTTTTATGAATGTAATAAGTTTTACAGCTACTTTACAAGCCAAATAATATGTTTATCTATATTACTTAGAATCAAAATAAAAGGACAAAGGGAGGGAAAATTGGATATATACACAGAAAAAAATGGGAAAAATTCCATTTATCATTCACTTGAAGGCACAGGTATATAATGCCATTGGATCATATAAAATGGCCTACAAGTTTTAAAAATTTAGATAACTTCTCAAATGAACTTACTTTACTCACTTAAGACTGGTTCTCAGTCTGAAAAGACTTCTTTCACCAATATTAAAAAGTCAGTAAATAACAAATAAATTAGTCAAGTAACTAAATTATGGACGTTTAATATTGTCCTCACCATTTTCAACAGGTGTGTCCTCAGGCAGATCCACATCAAGCATAAGGTCATCATCCTCAAGGTCACATGATTCAAGATTATTCAGAATATCCTGTGAGCAAAAGCAGTAAAAAATACTATAACCCAGGCTTAAAGGATTTGTGAAATCATTAGTTTTGAAAACATCATACCATACGATCAACCTGGTTTTACTCATTATTTGTGCGGTAAGAATAAGTAGATTTTTAAAATAAATTTTTTTCAAAAAAAAGATTTAACTGGTTTACTTAACTTAAGCTTCCTAGTCTTCCTCTCTACTAGATTTTTATTTAAGAAAATTTACAGTATATAGTACATGTGCCAGATATTATTCTAAGCACTTTACAAATTATTTTGCACCATCTTCAGAGAACCCTACTATTATAATCCCCCTACTACAGATGAGAAAATTAATGTATGAACAACCTAAATATGTGGCCAAATCAGGATCTGAACACAGGAAGTCTAGTGACTGAATTCATACTTTTAAGGATTATCTTAAAAAACTTAAATAATTTGAGTTAGTGATGAATCATCAAAATTTTATTCATATTTGGTGTAGGTTTTGTTACATATACAGATTGAACCACTAACACAAAACAGTGAAATAAGCCTTTAATGATATGCATATTCCATATCCTTTTTTATTCCAAACACCCTACCTATTATTGTCATCACCACCACTGCCACCATTTTGGTTTTGGTTTAATTTGTTCTTTCTCTGTAACAGTACTCTAGTATGCACACTGATAGAAATAGTCCCCGACATGTTCTATTTGAAACTTTGCCACCTAACATCTCTCCTTAGAAAAGTAGTTTTGCTTTCAGAGGCTCTTGGTCCAATACCTAAAGAACAGAATAAACTAAAACTATAGGTTTAAGGTAAAGAATGGAGTTTCACCTACAGCCCATGGATGGACCAGAGTATTCTTTTAAAAAGCAAAGAATTTATCAAATATTATAAGACTTTTCCTTAGTACATAAAGTAAATAGGTTACAAAGTCCACAATTTTTTAAATAACTTAAGACACTAAAGCCATGAAAAACTTCTATAAAAGGAAATACCTACTTCATTACAGAACTGTTTCCTATGTCAGGATTTTCATCCAAATATTTCACTCCTTCCAGCAGTCAGAAAGTTTGTTATGAGCCTAATTTTTCAAAATTTAGCTAACACCTTCCAATTTTTTCTTTCCAATAATTTATTCCTCAGACATAATGAGATAAATGCACAAAATGTATATGTAAGAACAATCATTACAAAATGGTTCAGAATGACAAAAAGTAAAAATAATCAAAACTCCAAAGAACAGAAAAATGGTTAAACAGAAAATGTGGAACAGTCATACAATGGACTGTTCTGCAGTTCTTAAAAAAGATAATGAAATATAATTATAGACACAGAAAGATGTTAACAGAGATAAAAATGAAACTAAAGTATTTAAAATCTTTTGCCCTTACAAATAGTGTTTCAATGAATGCCTATAAATTAAAAGTAAAATGAAATAAATGAATCCATCTGTATATCAAGTCAATGGCATTAACTCAGAGGAAAAACTTTCTTTTTCCCAGTAATTATATTATTAATAATACCAATGTATTTTTAGTCTGTAAGCATTGTATATACACTGTTAAGTTTTATGTTGGTGTTTGTTGAAAAATGGATTCTCTTCTCAGTAAAAAAGGAGATGAGGATATAAAATCAATGAAATTAAGTGAAAACTCTCTATTCTTGAATTAGAAGGGGAAGTATCAATATGAACACAAGAAGTCTTTCATCTTAAAAGAAAAAAATACATCACTTGGACTGCACTAGGCTGAGATGCTAACTGAAAAATAAAGCACGTCTCTAAAACAGCATATACAAAATCATTTTTTGATGAAACACTGTACAATATGCATAGAAAAAAGCTAGAAAACCCAAACACAGATTAACCCTTTATTTTAACATTACAGGCTTTTTCTTCCTTTTTGTTTAAAGTACCTGTATTTTCTCACATTCTGCAATAAGGACAATGACTTGTCTAATTTTATCCCCCCTACACACACACAAAAAAAATGTTATCTTCTCTATAAAAACATTAGTTTGTGTATGTATGTCTGAGCATGTGTGAAAAAGATGGTGTTGGCTGCCCTGGGCTGGACCTGACAACTATGGCTCACAACAAAGGTAGTAAAGCATCCTATATTCTAGGTCCAGAGCAGAGTTTGCTGAGAAGCACCAAATCAGCAAAAGGAACACTGCCACCTCTGCCAAAAATGTTGTTCAACTTTTAATAACTAACTAAACTATACATTTCTTTTGCTCTCTGTTACGTCTTATTTTATAATGAAAAGTGCTTTAAAAACAAACAACAAAGAAACTAAGCTTAAAGAACAGGAATAAGCCTCTTCTAACAAGTGTGAAAGTGATGTAATAATAATAATATCATAACTAAGAAAATCTATTAGTCAGTGGAAAAGGAATGGGAAAAGAGTTAGTAGTTATTGCAAAGGACAGGAGGGAAAAGGAGAGGGAGAAAGGAAGGGAAGAAAAGAGGGAATATCTTTCAATTATGCCTCCAGTTAACACTCTCCAATAAATCAATTATATATGATGTTTCAGAAATTTAACTAGTCACATGGAAAGATGCTAATGGCATGGTATAAAACAGAGAAAAGAGCAGATTATAAAGTAACGTGTACAATATGACTCCATTTGTAACACTGAAAACGACATTTAAATATCTAGATGGTGATAAACCAACGGCTTAAGCATTGCAACCTTTCATTAGGTAAAATAATAAATATTTATATTTTTTGTATTCTATTTTGTGTTTCTGTAAGAAAGCCATAGTTATTTTGTAATAAGAAAAAATTCATTTTGGAAAAGGTCTCTCTTGCCATTGCTTATGGTCATAGTCTTAGAAACCTTTATATATAGCTCATCTCTAACCCTGTAATAAAAAGTCTGATTCCATTTTTTATGTTTAACCTTTAACAGTATTCAAACCACACTACACCCCCTTTGCCTCTTGGCCCACATCTAAGCAAGCCCCTAGGAAAGCCCAGATCTTCTCCCCAGGTGCCAGCAGGGAAGTGCGAACCACACAAAGCCAGCCTATGCTTGGGAACCCTCACCCTAGCCTATCTCCTAACTTAAACAAAAACTGCAGCCATCTGTTCCTCCCTTCTCTCAAGCCATTTGGGACAGTTTCGGTGTTTGCCCTGCTCTTTCCAGTAAATCTCATTACCTGAGTAATATATTCTTCAATACTCTCTTGTACATGTGTGGCATCATTAGTCTTGACATTTGAATCAATTTTGGATGGAAAGAGTTGATCCCATCCTCCACAGGGCACCACCAAAAGACACATCATCAATAATTCAACAAATAAAGACATTAATACATGCAAGGACTTATTCTGGACACAGGTGACAGCTGTGTAGAAAAGTTATAATCGCTGTCCTCCAAGGCTATCTGTCCCCCACCCCAAACAAATGGTTCTGTTACAACACAGTAATTGCTCAAATGCCATGGGACCACATCTAAGTATTAGCAATCAGAGAAAATCTAAAAATGAGTCAAATTAGAGAAAATCTAGTTGAGATTCATGTGTTATTTGGGTGAAGGGAAAGGCAATATAACAGAAGTATGTGACTAGCAAAATAACAACGGGGAAAAGGACACAGAAACGTACACAAAAGGGACTTCCGGTAAGATAGAAAAATAGGCAAACGACACAGACCCTCTTCAACAAAGAAAAGAAAAACCAACTGACAGAGATACAGAAGATAATCCTAGAGCCCTGAGCTTTGAAAGGAACTATACAGAAGTGGATTAGGCACCAACTAGTGGAAAAACCTGAACGAAAACACTGAGTACAGAGACAGTCAGTGCTGTAGACTGTAAACTACTCTGACGGGAACAACAGCCTGAATATTTCCAAGTGGTATTGGGACCTGAGAATTGACCTAAAGATCAGCCCTGGTCACCAAGGGCTGCAGGGATGACTGGGCTGGTGGCCTATGACTAGGAAGGGAAATAGCAAGGAGAGAGACAACCTGAGCTGTTGACTTTCCACTGTCCAGAGGGAACTAACACTTTGATTGCTTACATGCAGCAGCCATTTTTGATATTTAAAGTGGCAGAGGGGACAGTCATTTTGAATGTTTAGAAGTGGCAGCCATTTTAGATATTTAAAGTGACCAGGGCGCAGCCATTTTGAATGTTTACAAGCAGTGGCCATTTTGGAAATTTAAAGTGACAGAGGGCACAGTCATTTAGAATCGTTACAGGTGGGAACCATTTTGGATTTTAAAGTAATAGCATTCTCATTCAGATTCCAGGGACCTAAGAATAGGCTCTGTTTGCCAAGGTCGGCAGGGACATACAATACGCTGACAACAGGAAAGGAGACAGGTGGTGAGTGTATAAGTGCTGTCAACTAGTGAATAGAGGAGCCCAGCATTGTACCCTCTGCTTGCACAGATAACATACAAACAAAACAAAACAAAAAAAAAAAAAAAAAAAAAATGAAAATTGTGGGCAAGTCACTCCAACATACAATCCCCAATTAAATATACACACAAAAATGTAACAATGCCCTGGAGACAACAGAGCATCACAGTCCACACAAAGAAGCAAGATAAAGCTGGAGAAACAAGGGACCAGGATACAGTCCCAAAACACATCCCTGAGGAACTCTCTAATAAGGAATTCAAAGGATGATATTTAGGTAAAGTCAAAGGATTGAGAGACAGACCAAGGAAAACACAGACAAATCCCTAGAAGAATTTTGGAAGAAAATACAAAAACAAAATGACAAAATAAATGAAAAATTAGCAATGATTCAAAATCTACAAATAGAAATCCAGAAGATTAATACCAAATTGTCAAAAAATAGATAACACATTAAAAGGGCAAAGGAGTAGAATGGATGCAATGGAAGACAGATTAATGAGATTGAAGAAAAATACCTGAATACTTCTTTGGAAAGGGATCAATCAGAAAAAAGATCAAAACAAAATGAAGAAAGCCTAAGGTTCATGTGGGATACCGTATAAAGGGATAACCTATGAGTCACTGGAATT